TGTGCCAAATTTCGTTCTTAAATCGACTCAAAAAGTGATTCTATGCATATTCTCAAAAGGAGTCATGTGTCTATCTCGTTTCCATTTGCCTGTTACAAACATATGCACAAAGACATAATACCCTGTACCACAGTGTGGTGAAGGGTATAAAATGAATTTGTTTCAAGAACCTCAAAATACCGAAAATTGGGGTGTACCCTTATATGGGGGCTACAATAAAAAATTTACCAATATTTATAATTTATAGTGGAGAGATTTGCTACCTAATAAGAACTCGACGTTTTAAATTACAGTCAATTCGGTCGAAAAATTCGATCAGAACCCCCCAAATACCAAAATTTTGGGGGTACCGTTATTTGGGGACTACCAGAAAAACTGGACCTATATTTATAATATTTAGTGGAGTAATTTGTCACCCAATAAGAACCCAATGTACAAAATTTCAGTCGAAAAATCTGATCAAAACCCCCAAAAACCGCGCTCAAGAACCTCAAAATACCGAAATTTGGGGGTACCCTTATATGGGGGCTATCCGAAAAAATGGACCTTTATTTATAATTTTTGGTAGGGAGATTTGCTACCCAATAAGAACTCAAAGTACCAAATTTCAGCGAATTCAGTTAAAAACCGCGCTCAAGAACCTCAAAATACCGAAAATTTGGGGGAACCCTTATATGGGAGCTATGCCTAAACGTGGACCGATTTTCTCCAATTTCAACAGGGATCGTCCTTGGGCCAATTAAGTGACCTGTGCCAAATTTCATCCAAATCGGATCATAAATGCGACCTGTACTTTGTTAACAAAAATACATGGACGCACAGACGGACGGACAGACGGACATGCATAAATCGACTCAGTGAGTGATTCTATGCATATTCTCAAAAGGAACCATGGGTCTATCTCGATTATTTTTGCCTGTTACAAACATATCAACAAACACATAATACCCTGTACCACAGTGTGTTGAAGGGTATAACAAAGAAAACTCAAGAACCATATAAAAAGAGTGTATGTTTAAAATATTGGATTAAGATTTTATCACATTGTACGAGTCAGTCAGTTTTTCATACTGGTTTTCAGTTTTCTTTTATCTACTGCTGCCATTTTACTTTAGCATGGCTCAATGACAATCTTTGTTGTCATATCCATCCAGTGGTGGTGTTGCACATTTTTAAGATGCTTATAATATGTGTTCGCCAAAAATTATGTGCGACATTTTAAATGTCAACTTCGTTAAATGCCAAATATTGTTTTTTTAGAGCAGATATTATATCTTTGATGATAATTACTTTATAGATATTAAAGAGCATTGGAAAATTACGATTTGGTAAAAACTTTTATATTGAAATATATATTTTTTAATATTCACGTCTTGATGCATATAATTCTACAGCCACACTCCCGATTGCCTTTATATTCGAAACCAATATTTATCGCATTTAATACCAGTCCATGTTGATATGCATTAATTTATAGTTTTATAATCAGCCTCCAGAGCGTATAATCATCCCCATTGTTTATTTAAAACCCTCATACGCTCCCATATTCTCGGCGTTAACTCTGACAATTTATTAAATTCATTCGCAATATTATTTTTATAAATCTTTTTAATTATTCGTTTTTTTGCATTTACATATGACAAAGTAAACATTACATTTTTGTCCCTCGTTCAGTTTTTTCGTAATTACATTCACCCTTTTATTCTTGGATTCACTTTTTTCACGAAAAGTGTTAAACGTTAAAAAATCCAACCAAATTATAAGCTATTGAAATCCGAATGCTTGGTTGGCAATTCAGCACACAGAAATCAATTTAAACCCCATTCTTTTATTCCTCGTGAATATTGAATCGTGATTATTGGTTAAAATCCCTTCAGGCAATTATTGTTATGGTAAATATAAATTGCGAGAGCGCATTTTTATAAGCGATAAAGAACGTGTGTGGGTGTACTTAATTTGAAATATCTACGTATGAGAGAGTTTACATTGAACATGTAGTAGGGATTTTTGATGGGATGGTCCATCAAAAATATTCTAAAACAAGTAACAAATACGATAATTCGTGAAGATAATTCGTGAAGAACGCAGATGCGCAATTTAGAGCCCATTCGGTTGGAAAATATTTTATTAGGAAATATTTCGTTAAAAATGTCGTGCCTATAAAATATATTTAAATAATCCACATCTATAATAGTCCTTGAAAAGAATATATTTAAACCAGTAAGGAAAGTTCAAAAGTCAGACGGGCCGACTATATGATACCCTTCAACACTATGGTTACATACAAGAGGCGCTAATATATACAATATCCTGTAGATAGAAAAGACATATAATTTTTAGACGAAATGGAATCGGGCGAAATTAAATGTGTGATTTAGATAGATATTTGAACCTAGTACAAAACCCCATAAACGTAGCATTTTGAAATCTATGACAAATTCCATGTCAATCGATGAGACTTGGATTCTTTGGTGTACCATTTATATGAAATCGAACAAAATTATTTAAAAATTGTAAATCTAGACCTTACTAAGTAACGGTACATGCGAGCTATATCTAAATCTGAACCGATTTGCACGAAATCATTCTAGACAGAATTCTGTGTGATATGTCAAATTTCGTGCAAACCGAAAGATATATAGGAACTTTGGTACACCATTTACATTAAATCGGACGAAAATATAACTCTAGTCTCAATTTAGTACGCTATGCAAATCGAAGGAAATTTAGGGTGTTTCGCACACTATTTACATAAAATCGGAATAAAATATATATGGGAGCTATATATAAATCTGAAGCTACTTTCACGAAACTTAACACACTTCACCCTAGTCTCAATTTAGATCGCTATCCCAAAATTCGTGCAAATCTAATGAAACTTAAGGTCTTTCGTACACTATTTACATATAATCGGAAGAAAATATATATGGGAGCTATATATAAATCTGAAGCGATTTTCACGAAAATGAAATGAAATGAATATATATTTAAATTATCCACACCTAAGTCCTTGAAAAGAATATATTTAAACCAGTGAGCGGAGCAGTATAGTCGGACGGGGCCGACCATACGATACCCCACACAACTACCTCGGAACTCAAATTTTATGCGGATGTTTATTCCGAGCCTATTTCGTGATATTTGCATCCTCTTGCCCGATTAGAGGTAAACAGCACCCCTTGCTCAAACTGACATATTTTCCGAATATTACGCGTATTCAGTGCAGCTATTGTCCAGATTCCCTTCACCGTGGGTTGTGTTGTGATGTTCGGCTTTCATTTGTGGTCTATATATCGACTCGAAAATAACACAACAAATTAAGTTTTCGGTCCACTTCATTCCAAAATTATTATCTGATCATCACCGAAAATTATAGGCGTTGTCCTTGACCATAACTGGAACCTTATGGGACATTTCAAAGCGATCAGCGCTATAGTTCCGCTCTCTAGAGTGATAATGGGTTACTAAATAATATATTAATACGAAGATACCTGTAAATATTTAGGTGTAACTTCCACATCCGACCACATACAACAATATAATTGGTATTAATTTAAAGGCCAACCACACCTCTTGGATATAATATCAACTTCTCGGGTTTATGTCATTCAGGGGTAAATATATACGCTATAGAATACAAATTTTGTCATTTTTCACACAAAAGTCAGGGTCCATTTGACCCGCTAAATATTAACCAATCTTTATCAAAACAGGCTTGCTTATTCTTTGGCCCGATCCCCTTCTCCATGCAAAATTTCACGATGTTCCGGCCATTATTGCGGCCTCTGGAGCGACCAGAAAAACCGACAAAAATTTAGTATTTGGTCCATTTCATCCCCTAAATATTAACCGATCTTTCCCAAAAACAATAGGGGTCTTCATTGGTCAGAACCCATCCTACATGCAAAATTTCGTGAAGATTGGTCTATAACTGTGGCCTGTATCGTGTTTACAAATTATAATGGACAGACGGACGGACGGACGGACAGACGGACGGACAGACGGACAGACACATATGTCTAGATCGACTCAGCTAGTCGAGATATGACGATCGGTATACTTAATGGTGTGTCTAGGGCCAATATTTCGCGGCGTTACAAACGTTTGGGGCTGCAGAAAGCTATAATACCCTGACAACATAGTTGTGTAGGGTATAATTATCAACACCTAAGTCCTTGAAAAGAATATATTTAAATTATCCACACCAAAGTCCTTGAAAAGAATATATTTAAATTATCCACACCTAAGTCCTGGAAAAAGAATATATTTAAATAATCCACACCTATAAAAGTCCTTGAAAATAATATATTTAATTAATCCACACCTATAATAGTCCTTTAAAAAATATATTTAAATAATCCACGCCTATAATAGTCCTTGGAAAAAACTTATTTATATAATCCACGCCTATAATTAGTCCTTGAAAAAAATATTTAAATAATCCATGCCTATAATTAGTCCTTGAAAAATCTTTGATATTAGCCTTCAAGAATCTTGTGTTTTGAATATTTTTAGGGGGTTTCACAAAAATGGTCTTTAAGAAATAAATTTACAGAAATATCTTAATTAATATATGTATGTGTATACATGAACATATGTATCTCTGTATGCAAATAATATCTATCAATATCTAATATACATTCCTCTATCTCCAAAAAATTGTCATAATATTTATTTCTCAGAATTCCATTATTAATAATGATTGCTACCAATCAATGCTGATGAAAAATAAAATTGTCATGAAATGAGCAATATATTGACATACATATATACACACTATATGTTTGTATATCGTCTACAATGAAACCATGCCATTTCATGTGATATGAACAATATTCAAACATATTCTTTTATGTTGTATATTTGTAAAACTCTGTATACACACATGTGTTTGTGTGTGTGCGTGCGGGTGTTTGTTTAAATAATTGTTTAAATTCATTATTGTTTTATCTTCTTCATTCTCTCAACTTTTTTATTTTTGTTCTCTTTCTTTTTTGCAGGTAAACGTTACATGGGGCTTACCATATTTTGCGTGTGATTTTTATATAGCCATGGATGTGATATGTTCCACTTCATCGATTTTTAATTTAGTTGCAATATCAGTAGACAGGTAATGTATGAAATTAAATGTATACATACGTATATGCGGTATGATGATGATATTGTAATATGAGGATGTGATGAAATACTCGTTTTTAAATTAATTATTTAATGAAAAAATATACTACGTAATTATAATATGGAATGGAATTTGAAACATTTTGAAATTTCCAAAAAATTAATGATTTTATTGATATACATATCGACGCCTCCGAACCATAGTATGCTAAGTCTGAAAAGTGAGTTTTTCTGTAGAAGCTCTCAAAGTTTGGAAGTTTCACATATCTTACGGGCTATGCTAAGTACATTTTTGCTTATAACTTTGGTTTGGATTGGCCGATGATTACCAAAATTTCAGAGAATATAAATTAAGAACCGCTAAAACATGTCGACTTAGCATACTATGGTTCGGAAGCGTCAATATAATACAAGAAAATATTCAATATTATTTTAGAACATCCTTATATACAATATCAGCTATTCAACCACTATGAAAACCAAACAAAATAACTTGGCTCATAAATTATTATTTACTTCTATTCATGTACCGAACAAAAAACTACGCATTGACATGAACTATTGTACGACAAAAACGGTAGAAAATTTTATTAACATGAAAAGCGTAACGAATATAAATCAATGTTTTATGACAATATGAGACATGTAGTAAACATTTTATTTTTTGTATTCAATTGTGGTTATACAGATAATTGGAACATGATACAGTGTTTGATATATCATTGAATAATATCTGGAATATAGTTTATGGAACTCGAATACAATGAAAAGTGTTAAATTGGACTGACAAATTTCAAGACAAAAATATTTAAAATTCATAAACCATATAGACTACAGGTCGTGGTGGTTTCTATTTATTTCAACCGATAATAATATTCTGAAGATGAAAATCGTCGACAAAGCATTTTTCATGAGCGAAAATAAACGGAAATCGTTGGATACCAAGTAAGGGTCATTAATTCCTCGACAGCTCTGCCTAGGTCACCAAATAAAAATACCCCGCTCTATAGTGGTATATAGGGGAGACTGGGGCACCTTCGGCATCGGGGCACCTTCGGCAATCGCGTTTTCGATATGAAGTTCTCACCGTACATCACTAGTTTCGATACATAGGTATCGAATATCGAAATAAATAACTGACACAAAGTTTGAAATTTCTAGCTAATAAGCTTATTTAGATACATAGGTTTTTGTATTTTTATAGACGTTTCTGTAATATTTCAATTCCATTTCGTAAGTATTTCGTGTATAAAACTTTTAAAATTTTTAAGACAATATTATTAAAAAGTGGTTAACTACGATGTGTATTATTATAAAAATATTTAAAAATATAATCTTTTTACAAATCTGATCGAAAAAAATGAAAAAAACTATAAAAAGTACATTCGGGGTACATTCGGCATTTCAAAGTGGGGCACATTCGGCCATATACAGATTGTGCAATATTATTTCCGTAAAAGGTTTTTGAGTTTGTTTTTAAAACTAATCCTTTAATATGGTTCGAAATTGCATATATAAGATCAAACGTGCTTGTATTGACGAAAATGCGATAGAAAACCCCTATTTCTGATGGTGTGTGCGACCTTGAGATGTAAACGTCCGCCGCTCGAAAATAAAGCCATATAATTCAAACATTGTGTGGCGTATTAAAACCTAATAGAGCCTTTAGAGGATCAGAATTTCAACCAGACTGATAGCGATGACAATTACCCGGCTATGACTATGGTGCCGAATGTGCCCCATCAAATGCCGAAGCTACCCCGGGTTGGGGCACATTCGGCGAATTTGACTTTTTTTAAAAAACTGTAAAATTTTTTAACTAATACTATTTTTTTATATCTTTTTGGTACTATTTTTTATAATTAAGTGTCAGAGGACAATAATCAGCCATAAAGTTGTTATATATGTTGAATAAGTACTGAGATATAGAGCTCTAAAAAAAAAGTGCCGAAGGTGCCCCAGTCTCCCCTACCAACAATATGATTGTAATTTAGAATTTAAATTCCAATCATACCCTTCACCACACTGTGGTACAGGCAGGGATGGTCCGTGTGACGAATTTTTAGGTTTTCGACTGTCAAAAAGGTGTAAACGTCGAAAACGTCATATACCTGTATAAAATGTAATAAATGTAGTAAAAGTCATTTATTTCAATATATCAGCATATACAACCATATATGACTATTCCTTACAAGAACTCATAAAAAATTTTAAATTTTTTGAGAAGAAAATTTTGAAATTTTATATTAATTTGAATAAAGCATGCGTAATTTCCAAATTGATTAATGGAAATAGCTATTTTGTCAGAAACCTAATGGATTTGGGTAGGTTTCCGACGTTTCTGACGTATGTATTATACGTCGGAAATGTATGTCATTTACGTCACTGTTTCTGATAGGCCATCTCTGGGTACAGGTATTATGTCTTGGTACATATGTTTGTAACAGGCAAAAGGAAACGAGATAGACACATGATTACTTTTTAGAATATGCATATAATCACTTTCTGAGTCGATTTATGCATGTCCGTCCGTCTGTCCATGTTAAATTGTAAACAATATACAGGTCGCATTTATTATCCGAATTGGATAAAATTTGGCACAGCTCAATTATTTAGCCTTAGTACGAAACTAATTGAAAATGGAAAATCGGTTCAGATTTGGGTATAGCTCCCATATATAGTTTCGTCCGATTTTAGGTAAATAGTGCACTAAAAACCCTCATTTAACCCAACACAAAACCATAGGCCAATTGCCACCTAATTTTGAATATCGCCTAACGTGTGTCAAGTTTCGTTGAAATCGTTTCATATTTGGATTAAGTAAATAGTGCACCAAATTCCTCATGTTTGTCAGATTGGTATGCAATTTTGCACAACGTACAAAGTGAAGAATAGAAAGACATAGTTGCGTTTTGGAGAAGTACAGACATAGCCCAACGGATGTCCGATTGATATTGGCTTGAAATCGATTTACATAACTTTGTCCCATTGTAACAGACGAATGACATGTTTATGGATTGATCCAAGTGGATTCACATTTCATGTTAATGGGCCTACAAATGTGCGATGTCTGTTGGGATGCATATGTTTAATATACCCATAGTAGTGAAGGGTATGATAGAGTCATATTCATAAAGGGTTTTAATTAGGGGACGGGTCGATATAGTTCATTCTGAAACCTGACCTAACCTTGGAGATATTCTACAACGGAAGAATGATTACAACAGATGGAGAAATCGACTAAATCGTCTTAGAATTCCACACTATGGAGGGTATACACGACGGACAATTTCGTGTATACCCTAGAATATCCCCCTTACTATTTATGCGCTCAAGAACATCAAAGTATGGGGGGGCTACACAAAACAAAAAAAAAAAAAAAAACAAAATGAACCTATATTTATAATTTTTAGAGGAGAAATTTGGTACCCCATAGGAACCAAATGTGCCAAACTTCAGCGTTCGTTTGAAAAACGCGGTCAAGAATCTCAAAATACCGAAAAATTGGGGATACCCGTTATGTAGGCTACCCGAAAAAATTTACCTATATTTATAAATTTTAGTGGAGAGATTTGCCCAAAAAGTGAAAAATTGGGGGGTACCGTTACATGTGGACTACCAAAAAAAGTGGATCTATATTTATAATTTTTAGTGGAGAAACTTAGTACCCAATGTACCAAATTTCGGCGAATTCCGCTGAACCCCAAAATAGCCAATCTTCGAAGTTGACCTGCCTGCAGACAAAAGACTCTATGCAAAATGTTGGCGATCTACCTCAATTCGTTTTACGCTATAGGGCCAGAAATGATTATTTCGATGAGTTACAAACGGAAAAACGAAATTTATATACACACCATGCTATAGTCGAGGGTATTAAAATGCAAACAAAATCCATCCTTCAAATATTTGTCAAAAATTCATTAGAAAACCATGCTTAAGATCCTTCATACATTTTGCAAAAATAAAGCTTAGGCATCACAAATAATAACCCTTTCAGTGTCAAAGAAAACGGAATAAAAATCTAAAATTTTGTACTTAAAGTCATATAAAGGCCCAGAGTTTAGAAAAAAATAAAAATATTCTGTAACGGGACATAAAAATTCATTAAAAATCGACTCCTTGGGTCATTAAAATATTCTCCAGAAATTCATTAAAAATTAATCTTGGACCCTTAAAATAATCTCCAAAAATACATTAATGATACACGTCTAATATCTTTTAAATCTTTTCCAAAAATTCATTAAATATTCTTCAAAAATTCATTAAAAAAATCATGCTTGAAATATTTTCCAACAAAAATTATTTATAAACCACACCATAGATTCCTAAATTTGTTTCTAAAAACACGCCTTGGACCCATCACATTTTCTATTAAAAGTCGAAACATTAAAAAATTGCAAAATTAAATATTCCTCCATAAAATTTATAAAAATTCTTCTAAATATTCGCAAAAAATCTTTGAAAATTCTCAACTTAAAAATATACATCTAACTATATATTTTCTTCTAATTTTTTTCAACAGATATATCGCTGTGACACAACCAATAAAATATGCCAAGCATCGGAACAGTCGACGTGTTTGTCTAACCATTGTCATGGTATGGGCGATATCAGCAGCCATTGGTTCACCCATAGTTTTAGGTCTCAACAATACACCGGATCGTGATCCCAGTCTGTGTATGTTCTATAACACAGACTTTATAGTATATTCATCGTTAAGCTCATTCTATATACCCTGCATAATAATGGTGTTTTTATACTGGAACATATTCATGGTGAGTACAAGTTTTGGTGAAAGAGAACGTAACGAAAATGAAAACACACAAACCCCACCCACTATCGTAAATTCCATAAACTTTGCAGAGACTAGGTCATTAAAGTTTTACAATGTGATTATGTATGTGAGTGTGTGTGTGGATGACATTTTAGCGAGCAAAGTAGATGTGGCAGGGTAGTTAGTTAAGTATGTAAGTTATGGCATGTAACTATATGGCACTGGTGGTGATGTAGTTGTTGTTGTTACTACTACTGTTGTCGATGCAGTCCTTATTCGCTCACTCACTCAGTTAGACAGACATAAAGTCCTTTGTTGTTCTCGTTGTAAATATTTGACCGGGAATGTGATGCCATCGACAAAGGGGTGTCATTCTCTGAAGTTTGTTGTAAATTAGCTAAATTGTTAGCATTACATTGTTTCATTTTGTTTTGCCCGTTCAAAGGTTCGTTTCGCTATATTATTGAATATCGTAAATATTGATAAAAATTCTGATAAAAAAAGTAATTTAAACAGTTGACTGTACGGGTAATGATTGAGTTTTGCTAATCGCATGTCTGTCTACGTGTTTCATCACAGTCAATTGCTTATGCTAATGGCGTGATCATATTTTCTAAAACACACACACTCGCATGCACACATAGCCAACTTTTAATCTGTATAATGAACCGATTTTAAATGTTCAATGAACAGTAATCGACGATAAAGATTAATCATTGCGAATGGAAAACAATTTGTAAAGTTGTTTTTTTTTTTTTTGAAAAAGTTTGTTGGATGTAAAAGTCAAACGCAACACGTTTGAGTTTGAAGTTGTTAATACAACGATAATGTGGGTTGTTGATAATGAAATGAGATTGTAAATTGAGCATATTGTGTAGACAAAGTGTGTGTAATTAAAATTAAAGATGTGTTTGAATTAAGTCTTTAAAGTACTTTTCAAAAATGTATTGAAAAATATGGTACTAAAATTTCTTAAGAAATTCACCCATTGGACCTTTAAAATATTCTACAAAAATTCCTTAAGAAATCCTCGTACTGGACCTTTAAAATATTCTACTAAAATTCCTTGAGAAATCCACGCGTGGAACCCTTAAAATATTTTATAAAAATTCATTTAAAAGTACACGACTTGGACGCTTATAATATTCTTTAAAAATTGATTTAAAAAAGTTAAAATATTCTTGAAAAAATTAACTTAAAATGGTCTGTAATAATATAATTTTAAATATTCTACAAAAAGGTCATTTAAAAATCCTCGCCTTGGACCCTTACAATATTCTATAAAAAGATAATTTAAAAATCCTCGCCTTGGACCCTTACAATATTCTATAAAAAGGCAATTTAAAAATCCTCGCCGTGGACCTTAACAATATTCTATAAAAACCCTTAAAATTCATTAAAAATCCACGCCTAAGACCCTTAAAATATTCTATAAGAAGGTAATTTGAAAATCCACCTTGGATCTTCAAAATATCCTACTTAATTAATTTAAAAATCCACGCATTTTCCTTTAATATATTTTACTAAAATTCATTTAAAAATCCACGCTTTGGACCTTTAAAATATTCTCCTAAAATTCTTTTAAAAATCCGCGCCTTGGACCCTTAAAATGATGCACGAAAACTCATTTAGAAATCCACGTTTTGGACCCATAAAATATTGCACTAAAATTCAAAATTCACTACCTTGTGTCTTTAAAATATTATACTAAAATCAACTTCATGGGTTCTTAAAATCTTCCTCAAAATCCATTTTTGTACCCACACTGTGGTACACGGTTCCTTTTGAGAATATGTATAGAATCACTTTCTAAGTCGACTTATGAACGTCCTTCCGTCCGTCTGTCCTTCTGTCTGTACATGTTAAATTGTAAACAAAATACAGGTCGCATTTATGATTCGGATTGGATGAAGTATAACACAGTTTATTTATTTGGCCCAAGGACGAACCCTATTGAAATTGGGTAAAATCGGATCAGATTTATAACAGCTCCCATATATATTCTCGACCGATTTAATATAAATAGTGTACCAAAGTCCCTATACATCTTTCGATTTGTACGAAATTTGGCATAGCACACTGAATTGAGTCTATAATGATGTGTGTAAAGTTTCCTAAAAATCGGTTCAGATTTAGATATAGCTCCCATATAATGTATAATGTATTCAACTGATTTAATGTATTAAGTCTAGAATGGCGTGTGCTAAGTTTCGTAAAAATCGGTTCAGATTTATATATAGCTTCCATATATATTTTAGTCTGATTTTTTATAAAAAGTGTCCCAAAGCTCCTATATTTCTTTCGATTTGCATGAAATTTGTTATAGCGTACTGAATTAGGTATGAAGTGATGTGTGCTAAGTTTCGGAAATTTCGTTCAGATTTAAATATAGCTCCCACGTGTCTTTTCTTCCGATTTTATGTAAATTGTGCACATAAGAACCATAGTTGGTCTGATTGTCACACAATGTTGTACAATGTACTGATGTTAATAAAAATTAATATCTGGCAAGATTCGTTGAAATCGGTTTTATATATAGCTCCCACATATATATCTTTGTGCAATTTTAGGTAAATCGTGCATTTAACTCCTAATGTTTGTCCGACTGACACGAAATTATGAACAACGAATCAAATTGAGGCTAGAACGACGTTAAGGCTTTTTCTGAAATTGATGCAGATTCAGTCATAGCTTCCATGCATATTTCGAACGGGTGTCTGATTAAGATTACATTTTAAACAGTGCGGCATATTGTGCGTGTATCAAGTGTGCTATATATCGATTTACATAAATTTGTCCCATTGTGCGCAAACGGCTCTAAATCTGCCCGAATGAAGTGAAATTTACAATAGCCAGCAGGAAGGCATGTGTATAGATTGATATTAGTCGGTTTACTTATATATAAAGTTCACATATTTAATTTCGTTCAAATTCACCCAAAGAAACATTGACATGAAATTGTTAGGATACATATGTAGAATATACCCAAAGTAGTGAAGGGCGTCGTATAGTCGGTCCAGTCCAAATTTTCTACTTTTCTTATTGGTTAATATTATACCAGAGTTCAGAAACGTGCGTCTAAGTGAAGTCTTTAAAACATATTTCACAAAATTTAATCCACTTCTATTGTTAATTTTTATGATTTGTTAAGTTTTATCTGCAATCTGTGTTTTGTTTTTGTTCTTCTTTTTCGATTTATTATTCTCGTTTATTTTACTCACATGCTATTTGCATCAAAAGACCATACGATAAATGAAAACAATATATATTGACCAACTATTTAACATGCAGTCATGGTCATATTGATTTCGTATTTCAAATACTATGTTCTAGATGTTGATGCTGATGACATATTCAGATAAATACAAATTTGTTCGTTGGCTTTTAAATTTCAATTTGAATATCTAACGACACTCCAGAATTCACAGAGTATCGTATATTTCTGCTTAACAAGCAAAAGCTGCAACCATTCATTTGTCCAGCCATGCAATCAGGCGTACCAAACAACCAGCCAACCAACAGTCCATGGTAACATTGCAGCAACACCAGCACACCACATTGCAGTGCGTTGCATTCGTTTGAGTTGGGTGCTGGCGATTGATTTCGGTCGTATGTCTGGATTTTATTGAAATCAATGCAAAGCTAAAAGTTAACTGAATTGGAAATATAAATAACATTAGTTTGTTTTTGCCCATCTGCCACCACTCCTCTCCACAAAACCATATATGGACCACAACGAAAATGCAACCATCAACGATGTTAGTTTTGGGGTAATCATCATCACCACTACCACCACCATTTGCATTCGAAAGCCTTCAGAAAAAATCTCTATTTGGATTGACCTCCAGCACACATTCTCATTGTCATTAGATGGACAGATAGCAACACAATTATCACAGCCACAAAAAGTCAATATGTTTTGAAGTTTTAGGCACACAGAGTACTTGGAGTTTGTATTGAATAAAAATGGAATTTAACCCCATATCACCACAAAAAAAAAAAAAAAAAAAAAAAAAACTAGTCCCGACCCAAAACTCCATTATCCACAAATTATGTTTGTTCAACAAATCAGAATCAAACTGCTGCAGTAACACTTTTTACACCAATACACACACACATACAGAGATATACATATTTTACAATCAAAATTGCTAAAATACGTAACTTTATAAGCCACCGCGGCCACAAAGTTATTATGCAGAACAAAATTTTCCAAAAACGCTGCCCTGGGGCTAGCAATCAGCACAGTGTTTATATGTATACACTAAATGTATTTTAGAAAACTTTTTGTTTTTTGATATATTGTAACAATATTTGCCGTTTATGGGAATTTTATTTGGCAAAACATAAATAAACAAATAGTCGGGGATTAGAAGATTCAATGATAATAAAATTCAACATTTGTAAAGTTTTTTATTGAAATATATTTGGAGATAATTTTGTTTAGATTTTGAGATATATTGGATATTTCCAGAGCTAAAAACTTACTTTTTAGGAAAATAGAAACCTCTACTACGAACTTGGCCTTTATCTTGGTATTTACACTTTATGGGGAAGATACTTCAGGAATAAAACGAAGTTGAATCAAATCAATTGCACTGAGGGAGACATCATATTTGTATAACCTTAGCCTTATGGCTAGTGAGGTTACATACACTTTGATACGGTGAAAATGTGCCTCATGGAAATATTAATGTTAGACCCCATGTTTCTTTTTTGAATCAAATCCGTTTCAGAAAATTTGGAGTAGATTTACACATGTCCGCCCGTTGTCCGTCTGTCTGGGTGGCTGGCTGGTGTGCACGATAACTCTCGAACGGAATAATCCATTTCATCCAAACTCTGCACATCTTAAAATTTCTTCCAAACTTTAAGTTTAAAGTTCGAAGATGGGGAATATGGGTCAAATCCTTCTAGTACCTCCCCCACAAAAAGGTCAAAATTGTGTTAAAAATTAATTTTATAATTTTAACGAAACTTTGTACAGCCTATTATCTTTAC